TTATCTAGGCAATTAGCTGGTTGTTTTACAAAAAGAAAACCCAAATCTAATTTTACTCTTTTGTATATCACCATGTAATAATTTGCAGCATGGAACGTATATGCCATCAAAATAAAGCTGTCCCCTTAGTTTTTTGACCATTTATAGACCTTTTAAAATTTAATCTTAACATACTTTCACATCAGAGTAAAATTCATAAAAGATAAAATTAACTACTTTAACAGGTACAATTCAGTAATATTTAGTACAGTCACAATGTTGTGCAACCATCACCCCAATCTAGTTCAAAACATTTTCATAATCCCACAAGGAAACCCTGTGCATATTAAGTGGTCACTCCCCATTTTTCCTTCCCCCAGGCCCTGGCAACTTCAAGTCTACTTTTTGTCTGGATAGATTTACCAGTTTGGGCATTTCATATAAATGGAATCATACAATATGTGACCTTTTGTGTCTGATTTTTAACTTAGCATGTTTTGAGGTTCATCCAGTTTGTGACATGTATCAATGTTTCACTCCTTTTTTTTTGGCCAAATAATATTCTGTTATATAAATATACATTATTTTCTATTCATCAATTGATAGGTATTTGGCTTGTTTCCATCTTTCAGCTACTGGGAATAGTGCTATTATGAATATTTTGTACACTTATTTGTATATCTGTTTTCAATTCTTTTGAATATATACATAGGAGTAGGATTGTTGGGTCATACAATAATTTTGTTTAACTTTTGAAGACCACCAGCTGTTTTCCAGAGTTGCACTATTTTACATTCCCATGGTGATGTACAAGGACACCAACCTCTCCACGTCCTCATCAGCACTTCTTTTCTGGTGCGTTTATTTTATACCAACCATTCATTTCTTTCTTAGCTTTTTTTTTTCTTTTAAAGATTGATTTATTTATTTATGCAAGCACTGGGTACAGTCAGAAGCGTGGGAGGGTGAGAGGATTCACCAGAGACAGAGTGGGGAACAGAACAGGCAGACTGACGAAATACACTGCTGAGGGGAGCAGCAGGCACGGCAGGAGAGGGCTGTTGCACCATCTGGGACCCTCACTGGCAGCCGGGGATTGAACCAATGCTGCAGAGTCTGCGGGCAGCTTTGCAGCCCAGCGCTCAACCGCTGTACCACCAGGAGAGGCCCTTTCTTAGCTTTTTCTAAGCCATTTTTATTTATTTATTTTTAATGAGGTACTATTGTTTTACATCCTTGTTTATATTTTGACAGAATAGGATTTCTCTCTGGGATGGTCATCGTAGCTCTACCCTACCAAAGTACCCCTAGTCCTCCACCATAGTCTGTTGTGCTCCCTTCCCCCCTCTGAATGCCTCAGATCTATGATAGAGATTTCAAGGGTTGTATTTAAAGTTTGTCTTTGACCTTTGTTTAGTTTCTCCATATTCTGTATAAGTGCAGTCACTGCTTTTGTTCTCCATTTTGGAAGAATTGATTGCATCTCTTATAAAAGGAAAAATTATTTTCAACTCCATTGCCATCCTTCAGTGTCTGAGGAGCAGCTGTATGTTTCAAACTGAAACCATATGCATTTTTCCATCAAAGGGGCTTAAAAGGAAATGTTCTTTTTTCCCCCCTTATTTTGCAATCAATTTTTTACTTTTATTAAAATCAGATTGACTTCATCAAAGATTTAAAGCTTTTATCAATTTAAGAGCTGTGGAAATATGTTGCTAGTTCTGAAACTCTCTGAAGTATGATAGAATTGGGTGATTAATAAAGGAACAATGGAAAAATGTGAATGAAATAATACTGTACATATACCATAGTGTCAAACACTCACAGTATTGTAGGCTTTAAAATTATAAATTAAACTATTTCCAAAAATGGCTTTAATGTGAGTCATTCCTTTAGTAACTCAGCCAAACATGCTAAGGTCTTCTCTCCTTCCCCACTCATTTCTTCTATTAGCTAGCTGTTCCCATACTTGCCTAGTGACCATACCATCTGGAGCCAGTGGGTTATCACCTCAATCAGGAGCTGTCATTTATATTCCCTATCTTCAACAATTCAAGCAAAACAAGTCTCATGGTGTTATAGGACAGGGAGAGGGGCAGCCCAAACCCCGCAAACCTGCCTATACTAAATGGGTTCTGCCATCCGCCGCATCAACACAAAACACATGAGACTAATGGGAAGGATCTTTAATAAAACTAGGAAACAATACAGGTAAGGCAAAGAGTCTAGTTTCTAAATGAAGCACCCAAAGTTACCCGTCCCCTCGTGGGTAAAAGTCCATCCATATGGGATCGGTCCAGAACAAGGCCCCAAAGCCTGCCACAAGTCTAAAGCATCTTCCAGTGGGGACCCACAGAAAAGGGTCACAAACAACCGGACAAGCCCGGAAGGAAAAGAGCAAAATCAACATCAAGATAAAAGCTGCCATTGTCACCTCCCCACAGGTCTCACCCACATCTGTGTCACCCAGTCCACGAACAAAAGACAAGCACAGTTTCTTTACGTGTCTCTAGGCTCCATGCGCCTCCTCCAGGTCTCCTTCTGGCTCCATCCTGCTTCCTTCCTCAGTCTCTTCTGCAGCTTCTCCTCTTCCTGCTCAGCTCTACCCTTCCTTGGGTGGGGCAGGGAACCTCCCCCTTTCCTGGGGACCACCCTGTTACAATGGTACAATTTCTATATTTTCACCTTTTTCTTTTAAAGATTATTTATTTATGCATACAAGATCAGGGGTGTAGGCTGGAGGTTGGGTGGGGTGAGAGGATTCATCAGTGACAGAGTGGGGAGCAGAACAGGCAGATCGACTGAAGTACACTCCTGAGGGGAGCAGTGGACCAGACAGGAGAGGTCTGCTGTGCCATGTAGGTGAGCTCCCTGGTGGGGGATTTAACTTATGCCACAGTGGCTGGTGATAACTTCATAGCTCTGAGACTTTAACCCCTGCATCATCAGGGAGGTCCTCACCTTCTTTTTCTTTACACTATCCTTTTTAATAACCAGTACCTTTTAGTTTTTATTTTTTTAAATTTTTATTTTTTACCTTTTGGTTTTTAAAGATACCTATTCAAAATGACACAAATTTCAGGAAACTTTAATAGGATTATATAGGTAAAAATTTCTCCTTAACAGCCTCCTCGCACCTATTAATTTTTTCCTTGTATTTGCAAGTTTACTACCAAATAGAATGAATACCGAAAAGCAATAATATATAACTCTGCTTAACATAAGCAGTAAGACAAGTTAAAATCCTATCAGCATGACGTAGAATCAGAATCTGAGAGCTAGGGAAGACTTTTTAACGACCATCATGTACAACCACTCACTCATCTTTTTTCTATGTCACCACCAGGGCTTTTAAAATGAAGTCAATATTGTTTTCAAAACGGGGGCGGGGGTGGGAGGGAAACAAAACAAAGTCGACTGCAAAAAAACTTATTTTTTAAATTAAAAAAATATAAAAATTTTGCTCCCGGAGGGATTGCATAGTGATGCCTGCCCTCCAGCAACTGCACTGGTAGGGGATATATGTGTGCATGTTCTTTGGGACCAGAAATACGGCGCAAGTGATTACATCCCTAAGATTACATCCTGAGAAAACAGGCGAATGCCCTTCAAAAATGACTAAGAATTACACAAGCGGAAAAGAATGAGAGCATTTTCACCTTAGGGAACAACAAGGGCATCTCTTACATCTAAGTGTTACAGATAGCAATCTGCAAAAAAAAAATGTTTGAAAAGGGTCACAGCAATCGACACTTTAAACAGTGATTTGTAGCTTAGATGCACATTAGAATCAGGCAGTAAGCTAAAAAAAAAAATCCTGACGCCCAGATCGTACATCAGACCAAATTAAAGAAGAATTTATGGGAGTGGCATTAAGTGTTCATGGAGTTAAGTATTTTTTTAAAGCCCCACCCCACTCCCCGTGATTGCAACGTGCATCCGAGTTTGAGAACCGCGGTTTTAAAGAGCAGGAAGGAAACCATTATACGTGGATTTTGAAGGGGGAAAGTGGCGGCAGGGCACGGGAGCGGAACTGATAGCCTTTAGAGGGCAGGGCCACTCCTTCAATGGCAGAGACAAGAACCCAGTGGGAGCCAACGGTAACGAATGTAATGGCTGTTTCTGTGGTGGGACTGCTGGAATTTGCTCGGCATAATGTGCTCAGCACATACCCATCTCTACTAAATTGAAATTATTGTGCCAGCGGCCCTGCTCCTACCCACAACCGCATTTTCTCCCATCTTTTCCCACAGTTAAAAAAAAAACAAAAAAAAACCAATGACGGAGACGTTTTCTGTCCCACGAAAGGCGCATGGGCAGACAGTAGGAGGCGCCAAGAGCTGAGAAGTCACAAACGCGCAGTCGCTACAATTTGTTCGCGATTTCAGAACCGCCGACTCGCGAACATCTGGGGGGAGTCTCCCCAGCCGCACTCGCGCCCCACTGGGGAGCGCACACAGCTATCTCCCGGCAAACTTGAGATTTTACAACCCCGGAGGGCCGCGAGGGCAGGGGCTGGGCGAGCACGGACGCTCGCGGTGACGCCGCCGGCCCCGCCCTCACACCGACTTCCGGCGGCGCGCGGCCCCCGCTTCCGCTGCTTCCTCCCGCGCGCCGCCCCGCCCCACTCCCACGCGCCCCCAAGCGCCCCGGCGCGGGACAGCCCAGAGAAAAGGCACAGGTTGCTCTAGGAAGTCCCCCCTGCAGGTTCCCCTTCCGTTCTCCTAAACGACTTCCGCTTTGGGCCGTCAACATGGACGCTGCGGCTGCTCGCCGGAGCGGCTTCTGATCGCTTGCAAAGGCCCACCTTCTCTGCGGCGGCCGCCCGCTTCCCCGCCCTCCCTGCACCTCCCCGCCCCCTGCTCCTGTCCCTGGGGCCGGCGGGCTCGGCGCTCCATGGGGCGGGCCTCCGCGGCCGGCGCACAGCTTCCTGTTCAGAGACGGCCCAGCGGTAGGCGGCGGCAGCAGCAGCGGCGACTCTGCCCGCGCCGGCTTAGGCGCGGTGACCGAGCGCCCAGGAAGCTCACGGGCCGCATCTTGTGCCGCTGCGCCAAGCCCAGCCCTGCGCCGCCATGGCCCCAGTGCAGCTGGAGAACCACCAGCTGGTCCCGCCCGGAGGCGGTGGCGGGGGCAGCGGCGGCCCCGCGTCAGCCCCGGCGCCTCCACCCCCAGGAGCGGCTGTGGCGGCGGCCGCGGCGGCTGCAGCGAGTCCTGGCTACCGGCTGAGCACCCTCATCGAATTTCTGCTGCACCGGGCCTACTCGGAGCTCATGGTGTTGACGGACCTGTAAGTGCCGCGAAACCCTTGCCAGCTCCCAACACCACCCCCCCCTTCCCGCCCAACCGGCTGAGAGGTTTGCACCTCCTCTCCCCAGGAGGCTGCTGTTTTCTCCTCTCTGCTGGGCTGCCTAGTCTAGAATTTTGAACTCATGAGGTTTAGCGGGGGTGGCGGAGCATTGCATTTGGGGGTCTATCTGGAGATGAAGCGACCGAGACTTGTTAATTATGCATGTTCTTAGACTTTGACTGGAAATCCCATCCTTGGGATTTTTGTGCTCGAGTTGCCAACAGAACCCTATTGATTTCTTGGCCAGAATCTTTTTAGCTCAAAGCCTTGATTTTATTTAAAAATACATAATATTCGAACTTAAAAAAAATCCCCAACACAGGAAATCTGTTTTATAGCCCGTTGACAGTACATTTTACGTGTAGGTTGTAGTTGCTCTAAGTTAGAACTCAGGAGAAGTGTTGTGTGTATCAAATAATCCAAAATTTTGTATTCCAAGTTTTTTTGTTTCCTGGAATGGGTGAGAGTGAAGTCTTCACGCAGGTAGTGTAAATTAGATTTTATTTTTTTGTTTTTTGGTAACTGGCCTGCTGTTACTGTTTCTGGGAGTATGAAGAGTTTATAAATCACCAAGTTACCCATAAAATGTCTTGGGACATGATTAGAGTGTTAATCCCTTCAGAATAGGATCTGAATACACTAATGATTTTCAGTGTGTGAAAAAAAGTAACTATAAGATTTGGGGGTATCTATACTTTAATGACTTACATTTTTAAGTCTGGGTTCAGAAAAAGAGTTTTTGATCTAGATTAATTTTTATCTTTTACCTATTGCTTAGACTCCAGACCCGTGTTTTTTATTGAAATACACTAGTATGTTGATGCTAAGCTGTAAAGTGGCACAGTAATTTGTTGCTAGACATTCTTAAGATATTTGTTTGCAGATGACTAAACAACTAAGATAGATTCCACTCATTTTCACCCTGTTTTAGTGTTCAGTGCTTTATTTAATGGGACAGAAAGAAACCTCACTTTGTTTTATGAGAAACTTAAATAGCTGCCTGATTAGGCATTATTGTGGTGATACACTTGCCTGCACCTTTATTGTTGGATTTCATAAAAAGCCACGGGTATCCATGCGAAAGTATATGCATGTGAAGGTAACCTGTCCTATGTGTAGCTATGGAAAAAGTTGAAACTGTTGCTATTGGTTATTGTGTAGTTGGTATAATTTGGTTTTCCATGGGGGTTTGGTAGCAATTCTTTGACTTATTTTGTGTTCTAATATTTTTGGATTTAGTTATAAAGATAGTAATAAAAAATGTTTTATTGCTGTAGAATGTGAGTCTATAGTCTAGTCTCACACCCTTTATATGATGATGATTCCTACACTTGTATCTCCAGTACAGACCTCTCCGCTGAACTCCAAATTCTATATCCAGATACCTAGATGCCTACATGTTAACACCTCTTGGGTCCTTCAGTGTATCAAGTCCAGAGCCAAACTCCTGATTTCGCTTGCTCCGTCCAAACCTTTCCCCTCTCTCTCCCCTCTCTCGCTAAATAATGTCTCCATTCTTCCTGTGTTGCTTAGGTTCCTCTTCCAATCCCCTACCCAGAACATCAACAAGTCTTGTCACTTCTGACTTTAGAATCTGCCTGCTTTTCAACATTTCTATCAAGTGTTTATCCTTCACCCATGTTAACTGCAGTAGTCTGCTAACTATATTCTGCTGCTTCTCTTGCTCCTCCGTAGTTTTTCCTCCATAGTCAGGGCGATCCTTTTAAAACTTCTCTGATTATAATCTTCAAGTGGTTCCCCATCTCACAATAAAAAGTTTTTATTGTCACCTATATGTAGGGTGACCATAAAATCTATGATCCAAATCAGGACACTTCTGAGCGTGAAAGATGGTGCTGTTAATAAAGTCAGCAGCAGGCAAAAACCAGGACCATCTTCTAAAACCAGGACTTGCGGTCGGTCACCTTACCTTTAAGACCCTGCATGAGTGGTGCCTTCTCTCCTTTACCTCTCTGACTTCATTTCCTAATAACTCTCCTCTTTATTTTGTTTCAGCCACACTATGATTCTTGATTTTCTTGATATTGACAGGCACCTTCCCACCTTAAAGCGTTTGCTCTTCTCCCCAGAAATCTCTGTGGTCTGCTTTCTCTTCTCCTTTAGGTCTTTGTTCAGATATAGTTTATCAGAAAGACTTTCTCTGACCACCTGTAAAAAGTACTCTGCCCCTTGACTTTATCCTTCTTAACCACCGCTTTGTTTTTCTTTAAAGCACTTATCACCACCAGATAGGATTAGTTTATTGTCTCTCTTCCTTGCCACAGGAAGCTCCCTAAGGACAGGGATTTTGATTTGTTTGCCACTTTCCCCAGAGCCTAAAACAATGCCTCACACATTGTCAGGGCTTAACTAAATATTTGTTGATGTAACTCATGTATGAATGAATTTTTTGAAGTGTTGCTCTTGAACCACAGGTGTACAGAAATCTTTTCTCTTTGTGGCAACCAAACTTAGTCTATGAGCTTACCTTGGAAGTTGCTAAATCTTGTATTTTTCCTTGTTTCAGGTGGAAACTGTCAGTATTAGTGTATTAATGTAAAACCAGTATTCTAGGTGCACTTTTCAAGAATCTTAGAATTTATATTCTGTATTAACATTTTAGGGACTTAGGTTCTACTTAAAAAAAAAAAACACAACTTTCAATTAAAATCAGAAAATGTCAGAATATCAGTCATGTAAACTTTTCTAATAGCACTTTGGTATAAATAGATTTCTGTGATTTCTTCCAAATATTTGCAATTTAGGGCTTTTACCCCAAATGGGAAAGGGATGCAGGCAACAAAACCCATCCTTTTTCCCCCAAAATGACACCATCTCTGACAGGAGGATGATCCTTTCAGAGTCTTTTTTTTTTAAGATTTATTTATTTATTTATACAAGCATTGGGTACAGTCAGAAGCGAGGGAGGGTGAGAGAATTCACCAGAGCCAGAGTGGGGAACAGAGCAGGCAGACCGATGAAATATCCTGCTGAGGAGAAACAGCGGGCAGCAGGAGAGGTCTGCGCGCCATTTGGGACCCTCGCTGGTGGCTGGGGATCGAACCGGCACTGCAGAGGCTGTGGGCAGCGGGCGGCAGGAAAGGTCTGCGCGCCATTTGGGACCCTCGCTGGTGGCTGGGGATCGAACCGGCACTGCAGATGCTGTGGGCAGCTTTGCAGCCCAGCGCTCAACTGCTGCGCCACCAGGGGAGGCCCTCCTTTTAGGGTCTTTAGGAGAGGTGGGAAAAGCTGGGGCAATGATTTCCTGTTCTTTCCACTCCTAAAGGCTCTGCTCTTAGGTTTTTCTCTTATATACAAGCACCCATGATTCTCATTCTCATTCCCTCCCTTGAGAACACGAGTTTTGGCTTCCCCAGGAGCATTCTGAAGAGCTTTTTGCCTGTACTTGCCAGTAGTTGCTTTTATTTGCAGTTTTATAAGAAGGCCTTAGCATCTGCTTCATCCTCTGAACTGCTGGTCTTTCCAGCCCCTACCTAGTTTTCTTGATCACTTGGATCATAACTTTAGCTTCCATCCCACTGTCCGCCCTAAGAATTGTAGATAACTACAAGTCAGGGTTCATTTTAATAGTTTTCCTGCCTTATAGCTTGAATTTCTGGAGGTAGTTTTAGTTTTTCTGTGCCTAAGTTTGTGGGTGGGAAAAGGGTATCTAAGTGGCATGGTGTGTGTTCTTCAAGAACTGATTAGATGTGGGGAGACTTTAGAATTCAGATCATTAAAATCTTGGACCATGGGATAGAGATTTATAGAATGTGGCAACTCAGGAGGCATATCAGAACCTTTCTAAGCCTTAGCAGATGCGAGAATGTTAGATGATATAATTTATCAGGGAAAATGGTGGCATTGGTTTTGACTGGCTCTAGTATTGGAGAATTGGAATAAAAAAATCAAAACATGTAGGGGTTATTGCTTGGAAGCGAGGTCCCAGGCTACAGGGGGAGGCTGGCAACTAAATAGTACTCTGCATCTTTGACCATTTTCATCTTAAGAGAATATTTTCTCTGATACTATATGATATAGTGTGCTAATATATTGGGCTTTTTAAATGTTTGAGGTTCATGCAATATGTTTTGAAGCATTTTTAATGGAGAAAATGTTCCTTCCTTGTTTTTTCCCCTTATAGCCATGCTGGCAACTCATAAAAATGAAAAAGAATAGGTAGTCAACATACGCCTATAGTGGGTATTTATCCAGTTTTTCTGAAATACTAAAGTATTTAATATAATTAAAATGAAAGACCGTTATCAAATTTGAGGACAGTATGCATATATTTAGTCAATTTCTTTTTTTTCTTCTTAGGCTGCCAAGGAAATCTGATGTGGAAAGGTGAGTATGAAAAGCCTTAAATCTGTGTGTGTGTGTGTGTGTGTGTGTGTGTGTGTGTGTGTGTGAGAGAGAGAGAGAGAGAGAGAGAGAGAGAGAGAAAGAGAGAAAATGAGAGTGCATGTGGGGTTATGAGGTGAAAGGGCTGTGGATTAGAACCTTAAGCCCAGAGAGCCTAAGCTGATTTTTTTTTAACACCATGTGTTTGGGAAGTTCTGGGAAATGTGATTTCCTCACCCTTGACAATATTTGGTGTGAGATAAGCTTTGGACCTTCTGTTCTACAAACCTTTATCAAGTCACTGGCCAGGTTAAGTCCTTGAGGGGGATAGGAAGATGTAGAAGATAAAGCTCTTAATGAAAGAAACAAAGCAGCAAACTGACTTTCTAAAGTTGACTGCTAATTTGCCATGTGCTATAATGGTATTATTGAATATCTTTAGAGAGTTGACATCTGCCTACTGCTACTGCTGTTTTATAGTTGAGAGAATTTTGATTCAGTTGGAGTTTGGGGCATAAACTAAAGAAAAAAGATAAATGAAGACTTAAAAAAAACATGTGCTGGGGATTTAAATTGTGACTACAGTATAGACTCCTTGACTATATCTTTGGCACTACTAATGTTCCTTGTTTTTGTTTGTTTAAATACCAGACCACTAGGAAGGATATTAGCTTTTACTAATGACTATACTCCACCCCCATCATCCTCACCCCAACTGATCTTTCTGATAGAAATAGACATAGATTGAAAAGGTGGAGGCGGAAGAGACAATTGGAGCGTACCTGTGTTGTGGATTGGCTGGTCAGTTTTAAAGGAAGGAAGGACTTTAAAGCCAGAATTTGTTCTGTCCTCTCTGGGATCAAAAGGCAAACTAAACTAGGCCTTGGGAAACCAACACAAGCTATCTATCACTTGAGAAAGTGTGGTATGAAAAAAAAAAAACATGTTACAGCTGTATGAAAAGGGAAGACTACTTTCTAGTAGAGGAGCTTATTTGGGAAACCTGGAGAGGAGCAGAGACCTTGCATCTTTTGTGAGCCTGGGCAGTATTGATGCTTCTAGCACTGAGGCCCCTGCTAGATCTTAACGTACAGTTAGCATTTCTGCTGTGTCCTAGCCTTCTTTTTTTTTTTTTAAAAAAAGGTTTATTTGTTTATGCATACAAGAGCTGGGGTATAGGCCAAAGGTGTGTATGGGGGAGTGAGAGGATTCACCAGAGACAGTGGGGAACAGAACAGGCAGACTGACTAAAATACTCTGCTGAGGGGAGCAGCGGGCAAGTCAGGAGAGGTCTGCTCACCATTTGTGTTGCTCCCTGGCCGGCCTGGGATCGAACTCATGCTGCAATGGCTGCAGATTGCTTCATAGGTTGTGTCTTAACCCTTGCGCCGCCAGGGAGGCCCTGTCCTAGCCTTCTTGTCTGTGATGCTCTACTTGTTTTATCTATTAAGATCCCCTGCAGACACGCGAAGAGTCGGAATTGTATATGTGTCCTAGATTCTTTTTACTTCCAATACTCATATTGCTGGCTGATCTTTATGGAAGCCTTTTAGGTTGTTTGTGGACTGTGTATGTGCTCTCTGTGGAGCTAGACTCTGTAATCTTCAGTCAGTGTTATCTTTCAGCAAAACCTTTTTATTTAGTGCATTACACCTTGGTGTTGATGTGGGTTAGATATAGAGATATGGGTTGCTTCTGTAGGATTTTGAGCAGCTGTACTAAGATTTAAAGGTCATCATCTGCTTGGAGGTTGGGTGTCCTGCTGGGTCCTGTCATCAGTCCCTGACTATTGAAAATTTCTTTCAATTTCTTAGGGTAGACCATAAAAGGTACAATTGTCAGCTTTGTTGTAGCTGACATGTAGTTGACAGGTCTGGCTATCATACTGATTGACAACTAAGGCTTTATGAGAAGGTGGTAAAAATACTGATGACTGTTTGGAGAAAAAGCATTTAATGGCTATAGCATAAAAATAGATGTGGGTAGATCTTCCAGCTTTTATTTTTAGTACTCAACTTGCTTTCTTTAACTTTGCTTGGAAGTTTAATATCTAAGTTTGTCATTGAAATTACTTTGGTTAAGAATTGTATAGTTGCATTTTTTGATTATTCAGTTTTTAAAATCCCACTTTTGCAAGAAGGGAAAGCGACCCTTTTGTAGAATACAGTTTCAACCTTTGGTTAAGATTTATTTCAATTCTTGAACCTAAAAGGTTTCTAATGCATAACTCCTAATTTGGTCCCTTCTGTGACTCCTCTCTTTCTATCTGTCATATATCCTTGAGTTTAGTAAATGACTTATATTACAATATAAAATTTTAAAAATGTGATTCAATGCTAAAACATTCTATTGTATTTATTACTTTGAAGTAAAAATAAAGCACATGCAGGTGGCATACAAATGTGACAATAATCAAATTTAGATAAATATTTTAGGTGGTTCATTTTGTTGTAATGGTTATAAACAAAGATTGATTTACATTTTAGCTTAGATAAAATGAATTTTGACATATTCTGTTAAGCATGTTGGTTCATTAAGAATTATTTCTATTTCCAGGAAAATAGAAATAGTGCAGTTTGCTAGCCGGACACGCCAACTCTTTGTTCGATTATTAGCTCTAGTAAAATGGGCTAATAATGCTGGCAAAGTGGAAAAATGTGCGGTGAGTTAAAGTTTTATTTTCTCTAAAATAACTTTTAGGAATGTTAACTTGTAGTGACGTTGTTTCTAATTTTTGCTGTAACTTATATCTGCTGGTTTGTTTTGAGAGGTATGACTTATGTATGTAATCATATTTCTGTATGGTAATGTATCTATCTGTAGAATCTTAGTATTTGTTTATGGATACCTAATCAGAAATACGAGCAGGAGCTATCTGAAGACCTCATTAATTATGCTAGAAGGCTTTATTTTTTAAATTATTTTTTAAAAGATTTATTTATTTATGCACACAGGAACTGGGGGACAGGCCAGAGGTGTGTGTGGGGGGGTGAGAGGATTCACCAGAGACAGAGTGGGAAACAGAACAGGCAGGTTGATTGAAATACACTAATGAGGGGAGCAGCGGGCTAGCCAGGAGAGGTCTGCTGCGCCATGTGGTCTGCTCCCTGGCCGCCGGGGATCGAATTCATGCTGCAGTGGCTGTGGATAGCCTCATAGGTTGTGTCTTAGCCCCTTGTGCCACCAGGGAGGCCCTAGAAAGCTCTAAATATGAGACTTGAACCAAAGGGGAAGGATGGTTAACTTGCAGAATACGCCTTTGCATTTTCCCTATTGATTCTTGACAACCCTGTGAGAATGTGATTTTAGTATTTTCGTCCTATTTTATAAATGAGGAAATGATAAGCTTCCTCAAACTTAAATGGCTTCTTCAAGGTCACAAAGCTGATGATAGCATTTTCTGTTCATTTGTTTACTCATCTCATTCTCCAAACCTTTTTTGAGCGTAGGGTATAGGTGGATGAAGACTTGAAACAGGCATACTTGATGCCCTCAAGAAGCTCAGCTTTTTTTGATTGTTGAATCACTCTTTTAAATTCAAAGGAGTAAAATGTAGTGAAATGTACTACAGATGCTAAAGTCTGTCACAAAAAAAGTTTTAAACTCTGTTAAAGAAGTGTTAAGAAGGAAAAACATCAGTAGGGAATTTTTGTGTTAGCTTACTGAGCTTATAACATGGGGGGGGGATGATGTGTTAACAAATGAGACATAATTACTCATTCTTATTTTACTTTAGTCCCTTTCAGTGAGGAGAATGGAGTTCTTTTTTTTTAGATTTATTTATTTATTTATACAAGCACTGGGTACAGTCAGAAGTGCGGGAGGGTGAGAGAATTCACCAGAGCCAGAGCGGGGAATAGAACAGGCAGACTGACGAAATACACTGCTGAGGGGAGCAGCAGGCGCGGCAGGAGAGGTCTGCGTGCCATGTGGGACCCTTGCCGGTGGCCGGGGATCGAACCCGCGCTGCAAAGGTTGCGGGCAGCTTCACAGCCCAGCGCTCAACCACTGTGCTACCAGGGGAGAGGCCCTGGAGTTCATTTTTGAATGGGTAGAGTAATTGTCATGAAATGAATAAAGTCCTAAAATAATGAGAATATTTACCCTCTTTATTGAGGTCAGCTCTTCAAGCCCAGTTTTACAAGGTCAAGTAACTTTTTAGTCACTGTCAATTACATTTGGAAAGTGGGGGAAAAGTGAATAGATTCTCTAAGCTTCACATTGGTACTTAAATTCTATTTTTAAAATTCAATTATGTAATGATATTTTAAAGTTTTATCAGTTTTTATAGATTAAAGTAGAAAAATAGCTTTGTATTGCTTAAATTATATTCAGGTTACTTTAAAATTCTTTCAAGTTTATCAGACTTCCTGTTTAAAATTGGCAACTACCCTGTGTAGAAGTACCATAATAAATTTATTTTTTAGCAACCTGAAAAGCTAAGTTGAAAATAATTTTTATAGCAGTTTTATATTTGCAAATCTGTTGGGGTTTCCCCTTTTTCAGAATTCCATTTCAGAAAGGAACCTGCGGCACAGTCGTGTTTCTGAGCACGATTTCCTGATTGATACCGCATTTCAGTTTTAGCCCACTACATTTACTATCCTCAGTTTCACTAGATTCCCTTATTGTTAGACATAAAGTTGTTTCACATAAAGTTATGTGAAAGTTGCTAAAGTGAAAGGAGAAAAGAGGTTATAAAAAAGTTGAGGATTTTAAATTCTAGAATATAATTAGTTTAATAAAACCTGATTTTTCACTGAAGTTAATGCTCAATTGCAGCTCTGCCACCTAAGCCAATGATAAGACTGAAGGAATTCTCTAAGACTAAGTATGGCCACCTATCTTTTATCTCTAAGAGTAAGTTTTGATATCCCCCTCCTATATAACGTTGATTAGAGGTTTATTTAGGGAGAGAATTATTTTGTGCCATGTATTAAGTTTTTCTTAAGGAGGAAATGTCCTTTGTTGATGTGACTGGGAAATTAAAGTTTGTAAGCAGAAGACCTTTTGTACAGGCTTTTTTGTACAAGCATTAATAAGCAGGCTTTTTCCAAGCTTATCAGAAAGTTTATAATTCCCTTCATTGTTTTGGGCATCAACTCTAATGAATTTATTTTAGTTAAAATGAAGATGCATGATATAGTATTTCCGAAAAATCTAAGTTTTCTTTTCAATAATTTGGGATAGTATTTTCTTAAAGATACTTAAAATTCCAGTGAGAAGTTAGGTAATACTGAATTATATCAAAACCAAGTGTTCAATTTTTTAAATCTGGTGTTAAATTCCTAGTTATGCCATGGGTATTTAAATTACCCATTTGATACTAGTGGATATGCCATGGGTATTTAAATTATTTGATGCTTCTGGATTGTGCTTCAATAACATAATATCATCTAAAATCCAAACTCTTGGTTTTGATACTGAGCCATATTATATTCTTCTTTCATTAATTTGTAGTATAGCATTCTTCTATTAGTTTTCTGATCTAGCTGTTCAGATGAGTCACATTATGAACAAAGTCTCATATTGAACTTACATAAGGTCTGAGCATTTTTGTTTTGTTAATGTAGTTACAAATGTGTTCATATAAGGGATAAAGTTTAGCTAGAAAACTAGAGGGTTATTCATATTATGACATTTTTGTTGTCAAATGATTATTTAACTAGGGTTGTTAGAGTTCTTAATAGATAATGATCTTTAGCTATGCCAGACATATGTGTATAGTTGAGTGTATAAATGCATATAGAACTCTGACTAATGAAAAAAGAGTCTAGATAATGTTCTATCTAAGAAAAAGATCAAATCTCATTTCCTAGAGCTTTTTTCAAAACAGCATTATTGAGATACAATTTGCATACCATTTAAAGTATACAGTTCAGTGGTTTTTTAGTTTTTTCATATATATATATATATGCAACCATTACCACTGCCAGTTTCCTAACATTCTCATCACCTCAAAAAGAAAACCTGTACCCTTAGGTGTCACCCCCCAAAAGCCCCCTATTTCCTGCTCTAAGCAGCCACTACTCTCTGTCTCTATAGATTTGCCTATTCTAAACATTTCATACAAATGGAATCATAACATGGTCTTTTGTGACTGGCTTTTTCCACTTAGCATATTGTTTTTGAGGTCCCTACATGTAGTAACACTTCATTCCTTTTTATAGGTAAATTGTACAGATATGTTTAGTTTGTCCATTGTCAGTTCATAGACACTTAAGCTGTTTCTAGTTTGGGGTTATTATGAATAATGTTGCTATAAATGTTTTTGAATAAGTTTCTGTGTGGACATGTTTTCATTCTTGGGTATATTCCTAGGAGTAGAATGACTGGAGATCTATGTTTAATCATTTGAGAAGCTGTCAGACTTTTCCAGAGTCGCTGCACCATTTTACATTCCTATAGCAACATGTGAGGGTTCCAATTTCTCAACATCTATGTGGACGTTTTTCTGGCATTTTGGCTCAAGCCCTCCTATTAAGTGTGAAGTGGTAGCTCATTGTGATTTTGATTTGCATTTTCCTCATCACTAATGATGTTGAACGTTTTTTCATGTACTTCTGGCCATTCCTTAGAGAAGTGTCTGTTCTGTGCTCAGTTAAAATTTAAATATTATAAATATTAACCATATTGTCACCTAGTATGTGAGTACTTAAACAAATATCATGATCATTAGGAACCTAAATGGATTCACTAATAAGTTTCTGAAAACTAAAGTTTTATCTTTAGTAATTAGATTTCTAAGTCAAAGGAATATAGCTGAAACTAGCGTATGTTGAGTTGAGCAGGGTCGTTTAGAGAGAGTTTCATTAGTTACCTGTGTTTTAAGGTGAAGTAATATAGACTGGATAAACTGTAGCACCCCACCTGGGATGGTTCATGTCTTCCTGGGGAGGTCTTGGTATTGTATGGTCTGATAAGCATTTTTATAGCATCCTGCGTGAAGGAAAACTTGAAATGACCTAAATCTGAGTAAAAACCAGTTCAAAAGGTGAGAAAAGCAGGATTCAAAATGTTTTAATATCTTAAAATCAGATTACTTGCTTGATAGAGATTCACATGTAAAAGATAAAGGCTTTTATTTGATTCCAAGCTAGCTGTGTGTTAGCAGTGTTGTGGCTGCTAATAAGATGTTAGTGTTGGTTGCATTGAAAAAAAGAAATTCATTTTACTAGTCATAGAAGGTAGTACTTTGGGCTATGCTGGTCTGACTAAAATTAAAAGAAGCATTTCTTATTTCAGCTTCTCTTAATTATTAACTCTCTTACTTTGTACAAGTGTCTTAACCTAAGCCTCAATTTCCTTATCTCTAAGGTGATAGTAATTATTTGGTTTTGTCTATTTCTTACCATTGTAAAAAATCAGATAGTAAAGTGAGTGTGCAAATGCTCAGAAATTGTAGGACATTGTGCGTGATGTGGTATTCTGGATACCATGTTTCAAGTCAGTCACTGATAATCTGGAGCATTTCCAGGCTGTGGAACAAAGTTGGTGAGTCTGGAATTTGGAGATGTAAAGACTAATTGGGTGTTTAGTTTGAAGATCGGGCAGGCGTCCTCTGAAGGACATGAGAGATTATAAGTATTGTTTCAGAATAAAACTAGAGATAAAAGTTCCAAGGAAGTATTTTCAGCTTTGTGATGAACTCTACTAGTTCAGGCACCCTGATAAAATACATTGATTCTGAGAACAAAATCTGTGTAAGGCATGAAGTTGACCTAGATCTCATAATGGGCAAGGTTTGCTGAATGTTCTAGGCATTGTTCTAAAGGTGTTATACTCATATTCCCTCAATGCTCAGGATAAACTTAAGAAGTTGGAAGTCATTATCTCCACCTTATAGTTGAAAAAACCAAGGCACAGAAGAGTTAAGTAACTTGCCCAAGGGTATAGAAGAGTTAAGTAACTTGCCCAAGTTACAGAGTTTAAATTGAGACCCAGGCATTCTGGGTCCAGGAGTCCATACTTTGACTTACTTTATTACTAGCCAACTCTAGAAATATATAAGGGTAAGAGGCATTTTATTCTATTTATTTTTCCTATCTTCTGATATTATGTATATATAATGTTACAATTAGAGAAAGAGATTAGAAAACATTTTACTTAAAGTGATAGAAAATTGTTTTAAATATCAAATACAGATGTGTTAAATATTCAAGTTGGAAAGTTTTGAAGAAATGTTTTGAAAAGTAGAAAATGCGTATCAGTTCCCTTCAGAGTTTACTTTGGAATGAACAAATGATATTTGAAGTGAAAAATGGCTTATTTTCAAGGAAGCTTAATAAATTACCCTTTTTTTTAAAGATGATATCAAGCTTTTTAGATCAGCAAGCCATCCTCTTTGTGGACACTGCTGATCGCCTGGCGTCATTAGCTAGAGATGCCCTGGTCCATGCACGTCTGCCTAGTTTTGCCATCCCATATGCCATTGATGTACTGACTACTGGGTCTTACCCACGGCTGCCCACCTGCATTAGGGTAAGTGCATTCACCACCACCGCCTCCCTTACAAGTCAAGTGAAAAGCTTTGACATTAGATTTTGCTGTGCTATTAAGAAGCCCAGCAAAAAACTGTTGTGTATTTTTAAACCAAATATTTCATGTAGTTCACTTTTTTCTCTAGAACTAAAACTGAATTTTTGAAATAAATTCAGGCCAGAATGTTACGAGTAGTTATGAAATGGATGAATCTTTGTGTGTGTGTGTGATGAACAGATGTACAAATATAACTTACATCTATTTCATGTGAAAAGAATACATGCTGGTTGGTTATTGGAAGTTTTTTAATTGTTGTGATTGGTTACTGCATTTGGTGCTATTCAATTTATACTTTTAAGAAGTGGTGAAAGTCATCTAGTGACATTCAGTTGGTTTCATAAAATTGAGCATGAAGGAGATTGTGTTGCATTACTGTCTTAGGTAACTGGTGGAATCACTGGCACTAAAATACAAGATAGTAAGGGTCACAGATGTAGACTTTTAAAATGAGTGTTGAGATTCTCTTGGGTAAATTAAGAAATACCATATTAAGGCAGGCACAGGTAAAAATTATGTCTCTTTGTACATTTGAAGAAATCACTTAAATTTTGTTGTAGGATAAAATTATTCCTCCAGATCCAATTACCAAAATTGAGAAACAAGCCACACTTCACCAACTGAACCAGATTCTTAGACATCGGCTTGTAACTACAGATCTTCCGCCTCAGTTAGCCAATCTTACAGTTGGTATGTACCTGATATTTATTTTTCTTAAGGATTGACTTGTTAGAATGTTTTTTTTTTTAATTTTCAAAAATTAAAAAAAAGATTTATTTATGCATATAAGAACTGGGGTACAGGCAGAGGTGCGGGGGGTGGTGGTGAGAGGTTTCACCAGAGACAGAGTGGTGAACAGAACAGGCAGAGTGACTGAAATACACTGCTGAGGGGAGCAGCGGGCGAGACAGGAGAGGTCTGCTGTGCCATGTGGGTTTCTCCCTGGCCGGCCGGGGATCGAACTGGTGCTGCAGAGGCTGCAGATAGCTTCATAGTGCTGTGCTTAACCCCTTGTGCCACCAGGGAGGCCTAGAATGTTTTTTAAATAGCTTTTGGGGTTTTAGTCAAAGACATACTGTATGAAGTTTTGACCTACAATTTTGGTAGTATTCAAATCTGTAACTTTTCTGCCATGTAATTTCTCGTTTAGTAGCTGGTATTTGAAGTTGGGGGAGTGGGTTAGATCGCTGGGGGCTGGAGGAGATTTTGAGGTCCCAGAATTGAGCCTCAAGAAATTATTGTTGCTTTTCCCTGTGCTCCCACATTGCTGCAACTGCCGCCCAGCAAGATGATTAGGGTCTTGTTCCTGCTCCTTCTCCTCCCCTTTCTCTTACACATTGCTGCACCCCAAATCAGGAAAATGCTATCGGGGGGGAGGTGTACATCCAACTTCCTGGGGTGGTAGCTGTAATCACTGGAGCCAACACAGGCATTGGGGAGGAGATAACCAAAGAGCTGGCTCGCAGAGGAGCCCGTGTGTACTTAGATTGCCAGGTTGTGCAACAGGGGGAATGGGTAGCCAGAGATCCAGGTTATGATAGGGAACCAACAAGTGTTGGAGTGGAAACTGGACTTGACTGATAGTAAATTTGTTTGATCCTTTGCTCAAGGGTTCTTAGCAGAGGAAAAATATCTCTACATTTTGATCAACCATGCAGGCGTGATGATATGTCCCTGTTCCAAGATAGCAGACAGCTTTGAAATGCACACAGAAGTCAACCACTTGGGTCACTTCCTCCTGATCCATCTGTTGCTAGAGAAACTGAAGGAGTCGGTCCCATCAAGGATAGTGAATCTGTCTTCCTTAGCACATCGCTTGGGGAGGATCTCTTTCATAACCTGCAGGGCGAGAAGTTCTACAATGGATGCCTGGCCTACTGTCATAGCAAGTTGGTCAGCATTCTCTTCACCCAGGAACTGGCTCGAAGGCTTAAAGGCTCTGGTGTCATGATGTAGTCTGTGCATCCTGGCACAGTCAACACTGAATCGATTCAGCACTCATCTTTCATAAGATTGATGTGGCGGCTTTTCTCCTTCCTCAAGACCCCTCAGCAAGGATCCCAAACTACCCTTTACTGTGCCTTAATGGAAGGTCTGGCAAGTCTAATTAGGAATTATTTCAGTGACTGCCATGTGGCATGGGTCTCTGCCCAGGCTCAAAATGAGATGATAGCAAGGAACCTGAGACATCAGCTGTGACCTGCTGCTGGGCATCCCTATGCATTGAGAGGTGATGGTAGTTGGCCTCAAGAAAAGCTTGCAGCAGACTACTCTTTGCCAAAGTTTTTCTCCTTCAGGGTGGCTAAAACCTTGAATAGAAGGAGAGTAGACCTTCCATCCTTGCCTCCTTGGTGTCTGACAAAAGCCCGGTCTACTGTCAGATTCATTTAAACACCTTGCATTTATCCAAACTTACTTTGCTCCTCTAACTGCCAGTTATTAGAGCTACCCAAACAAGACCCTCATATAACCTGCAAGTTCCTATTTTCGTTTTGGAACCTACTACCTAGAAGAATCCAAGCTAAGGCAGGGTTGATTTATGGCAATTTGGACTAGTTTCTACCTTCTTTATTCACAATGTGGTTCTTCCCAACCAACTTGCCTTCACTTCAAGAGGGCCACACTGCAGCCTCAGGTGAACTCCAGTAGTCACAGTAGGCTTGATTTCAGAGCATGGCTTATTCCTCATGTCTTAAAGCCATAATCTGAATTCTTTCAGGCAACTCTTAACTGAATCTGGGTTATTATATAGCTTTATTACAGGCTAAAGACTCATGTCTAGACCATGGAAACACTTCCTTTTCTAAGAAGTTTGGGGTAAAGGAGAAATAAAATCTAGTTTAAATTGCCATTTCCCTGTTTCTGAGACCAGCAAGGTGATAGTGAAAGGAGCAATTCGAGAAGATAGGCACCTGACTTCAGTTACTGACTCGGACCCACAGAAGCTCCTATTTGTGCCTTAGTTTCTCATAGAAAACCAGAATATGGGAGATGTTACTGTGTATTTATGACCTTGTGTATTTATGCAATTGGGAGTATTTTCACAAAAGTCAAAACAGTCATAAAGAAACTATTTTAAGCAGATAAATGATCAGAGATGGAGGAAACTAGTGTCCTCCAGTCTTTGAGGCAAGTTAGAGCTGCACAGGAAAGCAGACTCTACATATGTTAATAACCACAGAGCAGGATCTCTATGATCCGAACAGACGGGTAATGGAGAGTCCTGGAGCCCTCAGTGGCTCTTTCAGGCTTTATTGAGCTTTTTACACCATTTGTAGAGCGGCACCCAGGTACATGGCAGAGCTGGGGGCCAGGAGGCTGGCAGACCTCCCAGTCCCCGGCCAGTCTTCACTCTTCCTGGGCTCTCTGCTGTTCTCTCTTGGGCTCTTATCTGCTGCTGCTTCTGCTGCCATTGCTGTTTCTTCTACTGTGCTCTCATTCTGCTGCTCTACTGGCGTCCCCCTGACGCCACCCTTGTAAGCCCAGTCTCTCAGCCCAGGTGTACCACCTCTGTATGCCCACACCCTACTCCAGGTGTCCGCCATCAGGCACACATGTAGGACCGTAGGGGTCTATCATTAATACTAATGGCAGGAGGGCAGAAAATCCTGATAATTTTCATTTACCCTATACCACCCGTCAAGGAACACATTGGTAGCAGTGAAGAAGTCCAGAAAAGAAAGGAATCCTGGGAGATAATGTATGCAATGAAGGGACTAAAAGGATTAAAAAAAAAGGATTAAGGATTCAAAAAAAAAAAATAGATCCAGATATAGAAGAAATGAGAATGAACACCTGAGTTAACAAGACTGATACGAATAGGTAAGCTATGGAAACAACCCAAATGCCCAAAAATAGATGACTGGATCAAGAAGATGCGGTACATATACACAATGGAATATTACTCAGCAATCAAAAAAGATAAACTCATGCAATTTGCAGCAACATGGATGGAGCTGGAAGGGATCATGCTCAATGATATAAGCCAGAAAGAAAAAGAAAAATACTGGATGACCTCACTCATAGCAGGAATTTAGAAAACCTTAATAAGGGACCAGGAAAAAGACTAATTATAATAAAATAAAAATCACAATCAACAAGCAACTATAAACCAGAGACACACTACGGGGCGGGGAGGAGAGTAGGATCAAAACAAGGGGGGTGGGAATTGTATGGGGAGTATAACCAAGATGAAAATGCATACATTGTAAAAATGATGTAAAAAATAGATAAAAAAAATCATAATGAACATGGCTTTTTACACAATATTCATATTTGCTGTAGGTTTCATCTATGAACAACATTAAAGACTATAATATAGGAAACAATTAAAAAACATAACTGGAAAGTAATACAGTAAAATCACTAAATTTCTTTAAAAAAAAAAAACAAGAATGATAAGGCACTAATCTAAACAAACACCCATCATCCAATGTGGCAGGGTAGGGTAGAGGGCTGGGGGGTGGGGAATCCAAGACAAATGAATAACCCCAATTCTTTATTCCCAAAAATGTATTCCAACGACTGACATTAGTAATTACAGTTAATTTAATAATCTTTCAAGGTATTTCCTTACATAAGAAGATTAAAATGTCTATTTGCTAAAAGTCTACAATTGGAGAACTGTTATCAAAAGCAATGCTGTCAAAAGAAGTGTAAGAAATTGATAGTTCTCCCTCCACTTGTTTGGAGTGTGTTATTCTAATTAGTTTGGTATTCTTGCATATTATATGTTCACTTTGGTGGGGCAAAAGAGTTATGGGATCATAGTCTTCTTGTGTATGTATAACCTTTCATTGAATTTGTTTTGACCATTAAACTTTATATTCGAATGTGTCGTTTTTTTAGGGAAAAGTGAAAAACCTTTGATAATGATGTAGTAAAATAATATTTTACTTAATGTATATTGAACTGTCAATGAAAAAAATCGTTTGTTCATCTTAGAAGAGTTGCCTTTGGTTTCTTGATGATCTGGAATCTATTTAAATTCAGTCTATTTAAATTATAAGTAAGACTGAATGTTCAAGGTTAGCAGGAAGCTGATTATTTTCTAGCAAAGTAGACTACTACTGCTTACTCTTCTTCTAAAAGCAAATGGCCGAGTGAAGTTTAGAGTTGAAGGAGAATTTGAAGCCACCTTGACCGTGATGGGAGATGACCCTGATGTTCCATGGCGTCTTCTCAAGCTAGAAATTCTCGTTGAGGATAAGGAAACAGGAGGTAAAGTGTAAATACTTATTTAAATTATAAGTACATTTGTTCTTTGGTATCCACCAGGGATTGGCTCCAGGACTCCACAGATACCAAAATTCACAGATGTTCAAGTTCTTATAAAAAAAAAAATGGCACACACCTTCCTATATACTTTAAACCAGCTCTAGATTGTTTATAATAATACAATATAAATGCTGTATAAGTAGTTGTTACACTGTATTGTTTAGGGAATATTGACAAGAAAAAATAGTGCATGTTCAGTATAGATGGACCTGTGTTGTGCCTAACTATATAGCATTTATTTTCTGTCCATGCTTGGATAAATCTGTACATGCAGAACCCATGGTTATGGAGGGTAGAGGGTATTGATAAATGTTTATTATTTTTATATGATTGAAACATTCTTGCAGAATAATACATGTGTTTAACACTGTCCTATAATTTGAAGCAAAGTTTATGATAATCATCATGACCTATTGAACATACAGGGATGTGGTATTCCTGTGTTCTGTAGTTTCCCGTAGATAATTTCAGGTCTTTTTTTTTTTTAATTCAGTATTAGTACAGTCTTCTTAGTTGGTACTGTGATATGATTGGTACACCTTACTGATTAACCACTTTATTTTCTCTTCCCAAATAAGATGGGCGAGCCTTGGTTCATAGTATGCAAATCAACTTTATCCATCAGCTGGTACAGTCTAGGCTTTTTGCTGATGAGAAACCTCTTCAGGACATGTACAACTGCCTACGTATCCTTTTGAATTTTGAGACATGTATTTGTAAGGAGTTTGTGTCTCTGTCTATCACGTTTTCTATTTGCCAAAACTAGCATTCTAAACTCTTCCCCTCCTCCCTTTTTAATAAAAATAGGACTAGAGAACTGATCAATGTGAAGAACAGTGATACACGTATAATACACCAAGTTTTTTGATTTTTGCTGTTGACTTTGCAGGTAAAAACAGAAAGTTCTAAGTTAGTTATAGCACTATTTGTTCTCTAAACTGATAAATGAAGAGGCAACCTGGTTCTCATCATTTATGTTGGTTCAAAATTAAATATAAAAGCTTTTTCTCACACATACTATAATACTTTCTAGGAAATAGAATCCAGCAATTTCCTTCATTGCTAGCTTTTTGGGAATAAAGCTTTTGTTAAAATGAAGTTTGCTTTTCCTTCATTGACTGTTAGATTTGCTTAACGTTATCCATCAGATTCTTTCTGCTTATCACTTCAGTTAGAAGTGCTACATTCCCAAGCTCTGATGTTAATCGAGAGCGGTGGGGAGACCTTGTGCAGGTGGAAAGGTATCATACTGGAAAGTGCCTTTCCCTCTCAGTTTGGAAGTAAGTAAAGTTGATTTTGGTGGGTTAATGCTATGACTGTAAATGTTTTGTTTCTGTTTTTTCCCTCATACATTTGATTTTCTCTCAGTAGCTGTGCACCTCTAACCATACAAGGTTCTATATTATCATAAACCACATAGGGCTTCCATAATCAACACCTTTCTTAATATGTGGCTTGTTTATTTGTACTACAACTTAGTATTCTTAAAAAGTTAGATTACTCTGGGCTTATACCAGATTGCTAAAAGAACAATTATTAGATTGCTGGATAGCATTTTTAAAAATGTGCTTGCTTATCACAGTTTTTTATTCTGAATTGCACCTTTTAAAAACTTTTTTGGGGAAGGTTTTTGGGATAATAATTATCAAGCTCTCATTGATTACCATTTTCTGTAAAGGAATTTGAGGTATGAATAGATGCTACTTAGAAGGCAGGTTGTTTTGTTTGGAGATTCTGTGTGTGTGTACATGTGTTGTATTTTTAAATTATGTCTTTATTTCAGAATATAGTAAATATAATGTTGGATTACAGAATAGTTATCTTCTCAGTATTAATTTTTTCCCTTCACAAACAGTAAGGGTCTACCATGATCAGGCCCTAGCCAAGATACAGAGTAGATTATCCATATTTTATTCCAAAATCAGTCGGTTGTGTGAAAAAAAATTCTTAATACTTATCTTTTCTTTAGTCAGCAAGTTCTTGGGAGAAAAACAGGAACGGCATCTGTTCACAAAGTTACAATTAAAATTGATGAGAATGATGTCTCCAAGCCTTTACAGATTTTCCATGATCCTCCTTTGCCAGCTTCTGATTCCAAATTAGTAGAAAGAGCCATGAAGGTACAAGATATCTATATATTTTAATATTGGTTTGATTAAATTAATGTTTTGCCTCTATATTTTTTAGCATCTATTATGTATACTTTTTAATTCTTTCAAATTTTGTAATTTAGATCAAATAACCTTTTTTATTTTTTTTTAAACTGACATGTGATCACTATAACTAACACATTTAAAATCTTGATCTATACTCACCAAAGGGTATATGCTACAATACCATATAAGCTCATTTTTAAAAATGTTACATTTGCTTCCTTTTACTGGTCAGTGTGTTTTTTAAAGGAAATATGTACTCTTAGGCTTATAAATAAAAATGTTTAAATTTCACATTATTACCCTGTTCTTATTCATGCAGATTGATCACTTATCAATAGAAAAACTCCTGATTGACAGTGTGCATGCGAGGGCTAATCAGAAGCTCCAGGAACTGAAGGCCATTCTTAGAGGCTTCAATGCCAATGAAAACTGTAGGTTCCTTTACGTTTCTTTTACTTCAAATTGGTATCCACTTTTATGACTCTTTTTTGCTAACACACTGATTTTGTTGTGGAGACTGGGCATTTGTTTCTGCATTTTAACTTGTGCTCAACCACGTTTGTCCTAATTTTCCCCTTATTCTTACTTAGTAGCTAGGCCTTATTTTTTAAATGTATGTATACTTACCCTCTTTAAAATTTTTTCCTATTGAAATGAAAGCTATTTTAACATTTTAGTATATATCTTTTTAAATTTTTTCTCCCAAGGATGATGAAGCAGCTTTGCAAATAATTATGATGTATTTATAAAATATGCCTCTTTGAGTGAAGCAGAGTTTCTTTTTTAAAAAAATGTTTTGAATTATTAACATTAATAGGATTTAAACTAAAAACTAGATAAACATTATGAAAAATCTTCTAAATTTAATTAGCAAATAAGTATATTCAGAGCTTTTGGGGACACTCAGTCATTTAGAAAATAAGTGCTTTCATTCTAAGAATATATTTTCACAATATCACAGTGAGTATATTATCCCTAGCCCAGTTGTTCTTGGCTGCAATTACCTTGTACCCACAGTGAATAGTCTTTAATTTAGTGAGATGACATAGGTGAAGTACATCAGGTTCATCACAAATCCCACTCAAATACATTATACAAAGCAGTACCTTAGGAAAAGATTAAAACACTTAGACAAAGTATCTAAAAATGCTGGCAAGAGAAAAAAAAGAAAAGTAAACTTGCATTTAGAATATAATATTCTTTCAAGGAAAGTGAAAGGCTAGAGATGTAAAAGAGGGTCTATGGCAACCCCAAAACTAGAGCAACTTAATTTAACAACAATGCAAGTGTTGGCTTAAAAAAAAGCAATAAAGGGTATGCCAGAAATCTGGTGAATGTTATAGTTAAATATATATTGTGGGAGGGGTGGATATGTCCACTAGCCCTATCAGAGTTTAAGATAAGATTCATTGGGTCTTAATAATTCCATATGATGCAATGGAAGTCTATCAGCCTTCACCACTTCCCTTTAAAATCCTTCAGAGATGCTAAATTGTTTCAGATGAGCGTTATGCTGGACCTGCTTATTAGACATTTGTTGCAAATACATACTAGATTTTTCTGGAAACAATTTATTTTCACCTGATTAATATGTTTCCTGCTGTGTTTTTTTTTTTTTTAATAAATTTTATTGTTATATTCCCCATACAATTGCAGCCCCCCCATTCTGACCCCAATCCCTCCCCTCCCACCCCCGCCCCCCTAAAAGTGTCTCTGGTTCATAGTTTTTTGTTGATTTTGATTTTCACTTCTTATAGTTATTCATTTTCCTGGTCCCTTATTTAAGTTTTCTAGATTCCTGCTATGAGTGAGACCATCCGGTATTTTTCTTTTTCTTTTTGGCTTATTTCGCTGAGCATGATCCCTTCCAGCGCCATCCATGTTGCTGCAAATTGCATGTGTTTATCTTTTTTGAATGCTGAGTAATATTCCATGGTATATATGTACCACATCTTCTTGATCCAGTCATCTATTTTTGGGCATTTGGGTTGTTTCCAAAGCTTAGCTATTGTAAACAGTGCTGCTATAAACATAGGGGTGCAGGTGTTCTTTGGAATTGATGTTTCTGTGTCCTTTGGGTAAATACCTAGGAGTGGAATTGCTGGATCATATGGAAGCTCTATGTTTAGTAGGTCCAGAAATCTCCATACAGCTTTCCACAGTGGTTGGACCAGTTTGCACTCCCACCAACAGTGCAGAAGAGTTCCTTTTTCTCCACACCCTCGCCAACATTTGTTGTTGCTAGTTTTTTTAATATTGCCATTCTCACTGGTGTAAGATGGTATCTCATGGTAGTTTTGATTTGCATTTCCATGATGACAAGTGATGTTGAACATTTTTTCATATGCCTGTTGGCCATTGCATTTCCTCTTCAGAGAAGTTTCTTTTAAGCTCTTCTGTCCATTTTTTGACTGGATTATTTTCTTTGTTGTTGTTGAGTCTCATCAGCTCTTTGCAGATTTTTGTGATCAGTCCTTTATCATTAGTGTTGGGTGCAAAAATGTTCTCCCAGTTGGTGGGGTTTCTCTTTGTTTTTGTTATTGTCTCTTTTGCTGTGCAAAAGCTCTTTAATTTGATGTAGTCCCAGCTGTTTATCTTTGCCTTCACTATCACTGCTTTGGGTGATGTGTCTGTAAAGATGTCTTTGATGTGCAAATCACGTAGTGTTTCGCCTATATTTCCTTCTATATATTTTATGGTTTCAGGTCTTATGTCTAGTTCTTTAATCCATTTTGAGTTGATTTTTGTGTATGGTGTGAGGTGGTGGTCAAGCTTCATTCTTTTGCATGTAGCGACCCAGTTTCCCAGCACCATTTATTGAACAAACTTTCTTTGCTCCAATGCATATTCTTTGCTCCTTTGTCAAAGATTAGTTGACCATAAATCTGTGGGTTATTTCTGGATTTTCTATTCGATTCCATTGGTCTGTATGTCTGTTCTTGTCCAATACCATGCAGTTTTGATGATTATGGCTTTGTAGTATAGTTTGAAGTCTGGGAGTCTGATGCCTCCATTCCCTTCTTTTTTTTTTCAGGAGAGCTTTGGCTATTCGGGTTTTTGGTGATTCCATATGAATTTCATCAATAATTGTTCTATTCTTGAAGAATGACATTGAATTTTGATTGGAATAGCATTGAATCTGTATATTGCTTTTGGTAGGATGGCCATTTAATAATGTTTATTCTTCCAATCCATGAGCAGGGGATGTCTCTCCATTTTTTGTGTCTTCTTCTATTTCTTTTAACAGTGTTTTATAGTTTTCTTGTATAGGTCCTTTACCTCTTTTGTTAGATTTATTCCCAAATATTTGATTTTTGTTTCAATAACAAAGGGATGGTCTTTTTGTTCTTCTTCTTCAGATTTATGTTTGTGTATAGGAAGGCTACTGACTTTTGCGTGTTGATTTTGTATCCTGCCACTTTACTGAACTGATTGATGAGTTGATTAGCTTTCTGTGGAGTTTGGGGTTCTCTATGTATAATATCATATCGTCTGCAAATAGTGATAGTTTGACTTCTTCTTTTCCTATTTGGATTCCTTGGATGTCTTTCTCTTGTCTTATTGCCCTGGCTAGGACTTCCGTATTATATTGAAAAGCAATGGTGAGAGTGGACATCCTTGTCTTGTTTCCAGATCTTAATGGAATTGCTTTCAGCTTTTCACCATTGAGAATGATACTGGCTGTTGGCTTGTCATAGATGGCCTTTATGATGTTGAGGTATGTTCCTTGTATCCCCAGAATTTCAAGGGCTTTATCATGAATGGGTGTTGCACTTTGTCGAAAGCTTTCTCAGCATCTATTGATATTATCATATGGTTTTTATATTTCTTTTTGTTGATGTGTTGGATAACGTTGATTGATTTTCGGATGTTAAACCATCCTTGTGCCCCTGGAATGAATCCAACTTGGTCGTGGTGAATTATCTTATGGATACATTGTTGGATTCTGATAGCTAAAATTTTATTGAGGATTTTTGCATCAGTGTTCATTAGGGAGATTGGCCTGTAGTTTTCCTTTTTTTGTGTCCTTGTTCGGTTTTGGTATTAGTGTAATGTTGGCTTCATAAACGTGTTGTATTGTCCTTCCTTCTCAATTTTTTGAAGAGTTGTGAAGGATAGGCACTAATTCGTCTCTGAATGTTTGGTAGAATTCATTTGTAAATCCATCAGGTCCTGGGCTTTTGTTTTTGGGAGGTTTTTTATTACCATTTCAATTTCGCTAATTGTAATTGGTCTGTTTAGGTGTTCTATTTCTTCTTTATCTAGCTTTGGGTGATTGTAGAGTTGTAGGAATTTGTCCATCTCCTCTAGATTGTTAAACTTGTTTCCATATAACTGTTCATAGTAGTTACTGATTATTCTTTTGATTTCTGCTGTGTCCGTTGTGATTTCTCCTCTTTCATTGATGATCCTGTTTATTTGCTTGCTCTCCCTTTTTTCCTTTGTGAGCCTGGCTAGGGTTTGTCTATTTTATTGATTTTTTCAAAAAACCAGCTCTTGGTTTCATTGATCTTTGGATTGTTTTTTAGTTTCAATTTCATTTATTCTGCTTTGTTTTTATTATTTCTTTCTTCTACTGGTTTTGGTTTTTTTGTTGTTCTTTTTCTAGATCTTTGAGCTTCGAGATTGAGGTTTTTCTTTGCGTTCTTTCTTGTTTCTTGATGTGAGCTCTATTGCTATATATTTCCTCTTATTACTGCTTTGCTGCATCCCATACATTTAGGATATTGGTGTCCTCCTTGTCGTTCAATTCAAAAAATTTTTTAATTTCTTCTTTGATCTCCTCATTAGTCCAATGGTCTTCCAGTAGTGTGGTTTTTAATCTCCATGAGGTAGGAAAGTTTTGCCTTCTTTTTATGGTTTATTTCTAGTTTGATGCCTTCATGGTCAGAAAAGATGGTTGATATGATTTCAATCTTGGTGTATCTGTTGATGTTTGTCTTGTGCCCCAGTATGTGATCGATCCTGGAGAATGATCCGTGTGCGCTTGAGAAAAATGTGTACTCCGTTTTTTGGGTTTAGTGTTCTATAGATGTCTGTTAAGCCTATTGCTCTAGGTCCTTATTTAGAGCTTTGGTTTCTTTACTTATTTTTTGTCTTGTTGATCTATCCATTGTTGATAGTGGTGTGTTGAAGTCTCCCACTACGTATGTGTTTTCTCTGATGTCTGTTTTCAGAGAGGACAACAGTTGTCTGATATTTTTGGTGCTCTTCGTTTGTGAGTATATGTTAATGTTTATTTCTTCTTGAAGTATTGTCCCCTTGATCATAATGTAGTGACCATTGGGGTCTCTTTTTATCTTTTTGAGTTTGAAATCTGTTTTATCTGATATAAGTATAGCTGTTCCTGCTTTCTTTTTGGTCCATTTGCTTGTAGGATTGTTTTCCATCCTTTAACTTTGAGCCTATTTTTATCTTTTGTAGCTAAATGTGTTTCCTGGAGACAGCAAAAGTGTTGGTTTTTTCTTAATCCAGGCTGCCACTCTGTGTCTTTTATTGAAGAGTTTAGTCCATTTACATTTAGAGTTAATATTGATATGTTAACATCTGTATTTGCCATTGTGTTTGTCTTTCCTTGATTTTATTTATTATTCTTTTAATAACTTTTTTTTTTTTTGGCCTTCTTCATTGTTATTCGTCCCTCTGAGGTTCTGGCTTTAGGACCTTGTAGTATTTTTTGAGTGGGGGTTTAGTTGCAATGAAATTCCGGAGTTTCTGTTTGTCTGGGAAGGTCCATATTCTTTCTTCAAAGAGGAAGGAGAGCTTTGCGGGATAGAGTATTCTTGGTTGGCATCTGTTTTCTTGGATTCTGTTGACTATGTCCCTCCACTCTCTCCTTGCCCGTAGTGTTTCTTCGGAGAAGTCTGATGTCAGCCTGATTGGTTTCCTTTGAATGTTATCTGTTCTTCCCTCTTGCCAGCTTCATTATTTTTTCCTTGTCCTGGATTCTTGGGAGCTTTACTATTATGTGTCTTGCTGTATTTTTCCTTTCGTCGTGGAAGTTTGGTGTTCTTCTGCTTCTGTATATCAATTTTCAGCTCCTTCTTCACATTTGGAAGTTCTCTTCAATTATCTCTTTATATTTTCTCTGTTCCTACATCTCTCTCCTCTCCTTCTGGTATTCCTATAACTCTTATATTTCCTTTCCTCATGGAGTCAGATAGTTCCCGAAGTCTTTCTTCGTTCTTTTTCCTTCGTACTTCTCTTTCTTTCTGTTTTGGTTCTTTTTATTCTGTGTCTTCAAGATTACTTATTCGTTCTTCCATTTCATCTATTCTGCTTTCATTGCTTTTCCCAGAATTCTTTAGTTCTTCCATTAATTCTTTGATCTCCTGCATTTCTTTTACTTCCCTCTTGGGACTCAATTTCTTTCTTCTGACATTGTTTCCCTCTCTAGGGACAATTGCATTCTTCTGATCGTTGATTATTTCCCTTATCATTGTTTTCCTTTATGACTTCTGTCAGTTTTTAATCACGGCAATTATTAAATTCTCTTTCTGGAAGGCTCAGAAATTCTTCCAAGTTATTGTCTTTGCAATCTGGGGGCTGGCTTTCTTTTTTGGTGTGCTTTTCTCTGGAGAGTTGCTAGGTTGCGTGTGGTTCTTCTCCTCCCTACTGTCTGTTTTCTAATTTGCCGTATGCGTTGGGACACTGTGTTGTTGGACTGGCCGGCATCTTGGGTGGGCTTCTCTGTTCCCTCTGGTTCTTCCAGGAGTCATCTGTCAGTTTCAAGCAGCCTTTAATGGAGAAAGTCCTGTTTCTAAATGCCGATGTGGGGACACACTCCCCTGTGCGCCTGGTCTGCCCCGGCGGTGGGTTCCTGCTCCCTCTGGGCTTGGACTGCAGGCCAGAGGGGGTCTGGCGTGGGCGAACTTCCCCGCTCACCTCTGGCTCCTGAGGAAGCCTTCTGCAGTAGTCTTTACTGAAGAAAATGTCCTGTTCTAAAATGGTGATGTGGACACACTCCCTGCGCGCGTCTGGTCTCAGGCACACTCTTCTGCGCGCCTGGTCTGCCCCGGCTGTGGGTGCTCGCTCTCCTGTGGGCTCAGACTACTTTGTTCGGAAGGAGCAGGGTGGGGCTAACTCCCCAGCTGGCCACTAGCTCCTTCAGTAGCCTGTGCTGGGGTCAATCGCTAGGTGGCGCCAGGATCTCTCCTAGAGCCCTTGGGAGCTGATTTTCCACCCCGTGGGACAGGGAGCAGAGCGGGGATGGTAGGGTACACCTCAACGGCTTTGGTGCTGGTCTGCCTTGTGCCCCACCGTCGTGGGACCCACGCCCCTAATTTCGTGCCCGGGTCTCAGTTCAAAGCCCTCAGTTCCAGGACGCGGGCTGTAGCCAGATCAGTGCGCGGGAATGGCGCCTTTTGATCCCGCTCCCCTGCCTGGGCGCCTGTTTCCTGCTCACTCAGGAGGCCTCCGCCGTCTCCCCGCAAGCCTAGTCGCAGGCGCGGGACCTGGGCAGCTGCGATCCGTCTGGATCCGCGCCACTTTCCGCGCAAGCTTACCGGGGGCGGGGCTGTGTGCGTGCTGGTCTCCTCCTGTGGGGCGGGGCTCTCTTTAATGGCGCCTGGAGCTCACCTCCGCGGCGGATCTGCAGGGTTCGCCTCAGCTCCCGTTCCACGGGTGTGGTGCTGCAATAGTTTCCTTTCCACTCACAGTCCCGCTTGCTGTGTCCGTTTTCTTGTGGCCGTTTGGTTTGTTGTTCCCTCCTCTCTGCCGTCGGAGAGTGCTGCCTCTGTGGGCGGGGGAGGGAGCATGGTTCTGCGCTTCCCCCCTTCTATCCCTCTTTATGGCCACTTTCTTCTTCGGCAGTTTGCTGGAGTCGTCCGTTTATCTTCCGTGTTCCCAGTTCTCACTGGGACCTGCGCTTTTCCTCCCTATAACTTTTTAATGGGAGATCTTACTCGCAGCGTCTCCTCGCGCCATGT